GTCAATTAAACAAAAAAAAAATAGATGCTTTAAAAATGCTTCTTGGATTCTGGAGCATTTCAGGTGCTCAGGATGCAGATTCTCAGCCAGTAAAAGCTGTGCACATTTTTCCATAACCAAAACATTTCAAGCATTTAAAATACATTCAACACATGCATCTGTTGCATCTTATTTCCTGTGTGGACTGTTACAGCATTGTAAACTGTCACACATGCAATTATAAACATTTAGTACATAGTTTGACTTCCTACGAGGTAAATTTCTAACACCAGATTTCTTCACTGTAGCATGAAGTTTGTAGACTGAGTTTTATAACCTTGATGACATTATTGTTATCCCTTTAAGATGCTCTCAGTTTCTTAGCCAAGGTCTTTCAGCTAGCACACGAGATGCAGTGCTTTTCTGCAGTCTGTCGGAGACATGAGAAAAACTTTAAAGGGGGCTAGGAGAGGACTATAAGGGCTGGGTGTCCAGCTCAGTGGAGAGCTTGTGAATCCAAGTGCAGATTCCCCAGCAGCTACATAAAACTCTAGGCATGATACTGGTCACCAACACTGGTGGCAGGGGACACGCAAGTCCTGGAGGCTCCCTGGCTATCCAGTCTAGCTGGAAGAATAACTTCCGGATTCAATGCTAGACCCTTTCTCAAAGAATAAGATGGTTAGACCTCCCAGTGTGGGAGGAGACAGGCAAGTCCTGGAGGCTGCATATCCAGCCAGTCGGTCTAGATGCAGTGAGTTCCAGACTTAGTGAGAGCTTTTGTTTTGAAGAATAAGGTAAATGGACAGGCAAGGGGACTCAGCAGGTCAAGGAGGTTGCTGCACAGACCTTAAGTTCTCTGTGTGTGCCTACCTGTGTGAGCTCATTCACTCCCGCAGAGACAGCATTAAAAAATGCCTTGTGCTAAAAACAACTGGCAAACACCCCCTTCCCAAGTGACCGAAGTAAATATATCACGTGTTAATCACGCTAGAGCAATAGAATGACGTGATGATGCGACAGTGAGAACATACCATGAAGACTCTCGGAAGGACATTCTCTGCAAAATGCCCAACAGTATTCTTCTGAAGGGCTGACGTCATGCAAAACCAGTGGAGTCTGGTGTGTCTGAGAGCAATGATGGCTCTAGCGTGTGATAGCTGGACTAAAGCTTGTAAGAGAAAAAGGGTGTTTGTAGAAAATTAGTGAATTCTAAATAAGAGCTAACGCTTAGTGCTATAACAAAGTCTGCATGCAATGTATTTTATTGACAAGTCATTTTAGATGAGAATCTATGCACAACTTTGTTAATCTAACATTTCTTTTAAATGGGGTTTTGTGTTTGGTTTTTACTATCTCTATACTTCTGGGCTTCTACTAAAATTGCTATAAGAAGCTTCTCTTGTTCTCTTAAATACCTATGAAATTTCCCACAACACATAATAACCAAACCACTAAATGTACAGAAGAAAAAACAAAGACTATTAAAAGCTTCAAGGCAATGAGATGAAGTGACATAAAGGCAGACCTGTCAAAATAACTCCTGACGTCACTGAAGACTCTACAATCCAGAAGGGCCTGGGCCAGATGTTCTACAAACTCTCAGAAACCACAAATACCAGCCCAGATTACTATAATTAGAAAGGCTTTCTATTGCAATAGATGAAGAATGAGAAAACCATACTTAAACAGTATCTATCTACAAATTCAGCCCTACATCAACCCGAAGAGGCTAACCACACTCAAGAAGACGCAGGGTGAGACAGTTTTAAAGCAGAATTTTACCAGACTTTCAGAGAAAGATTAACACCTGTACTCCTCAAATTATTCTACAGAATGTAAAAAGAAGCAACTTTGTGCAATTCATTTTGTGAGACTAGTTACACTGGTAGTTCAACCACACAATGATTCAACAAAGAAAGACAATTACAGACCAATTTCCCCCAAGGACATATATGCAAAAATATACATACACACAATGTAATGTTTTCAACTGTTAGAAACAATGAAATCAGGACATTTGCTGTTTAATGATTAGAACTAGGAAAAAAATTCATTCTCAGTGAGGTAACCCAGACCCAAAAAGAGAAATATAGTATGTATTCACTTATATATGGGATGTTAGCTGTTAAGTCTTTGATAAGCAATGTACAATCTATATCACCATAGAAGTTAGGTATAGAGTAATTGAGGGTTGAATCTCTCTAGGTGTGGAAATAGAACAGAATAGTTATAGATGGGTGGGGGAGGGATGAGGTGGATGAAATGGAAACAATAAATCCAATAGGGAGGGTAAGGAAAGATAGGGCCAAAGGACAGCTAAGTCCAAAGACCATTTGTGGGGTCCTATGCAAACCTAATACATAGTAGCTTCCTAAAATACATGTAAATACGAAGGTGATTCAAATGGAATCCCCAACTGATGGGGAGATGGACCAACTAGGTCTCTCTCGTCCCCAAATGAAGCTTCCAGTTCCAGGAATGAGATACATCTGATCTAGTTGTTGGCCAAGTGGCCCCCAAGGAACCCCCAAACAATCCAGGCTATTGTTAAGGCTAAATACCAATCACCAAAGTGCCAGAATAGTTAAGTAAGATACAAACCACTAGGCTAATTCACAGCCTATTGCTTTATCTGTCAGAGCCAATTCTTTAACTGTAGGTCATTCTGGGATATAAGATCCCTGTAGTCAATGTGCAATATTCTAGGTATGAGCACCCTTTAGTTTCTGTTCCCTGTCACCCCATAAGCCCACACTCAAAAAACGGTCTCCCAATGTGAGAAGGCTGAGGCAGGCACAAAAAGAAAGGAGGTTTTATTTTATTGTTGTTCTCCAAGAGTCGGGACAAAGTAGCTCATGAAGTGTCGCAGGTTTTGCCAGCTGTCTTCCTCATGGCGTGTGTGGCACCTGTGACTGACTGCTCAGGACACCTGTGCCTCCCTGCTGTGCCTCTGGGGAGGCCTCCTCGCTGGTGTGCTTCTGTTATTACTTTTCTTTTAAATGACTTTAGAAACGGTGTCCTCTGTCCCCTTCCCTGTGCTTCCATGGTTTCTGATTGTGACTGAAGGGTGAGAACTTGTTTTAAACAGTAGACTGATAGAAAGTTTCTAGCCATGGCTGATCTGTAACAATGAATTGATAAAAAAAAAATTGTGAAATTGATCTCTTATTATAAAAATTCTGGGTGCATCTATGGGAGGTAGTCTGTAGAAAAAGAACATTTGTGAAACCCGTCATACAGGATAAGCTTATTTCTAAACACATGAATTGTTTCTTTTAATATGTGATGGTTGTGGATTTTTGTTTTTGAATTGTGTGAGTGTGTGTGTGTGTGTGTGTGTGTGTGTGTGTGTGTAGGTGTGTGTGATGGGGAGGGAGGGAGGGAGGGAGGGAGGGAGAGAGAGGAGAAAAGGAAAGAGATTTATTAAAGTGGCTTACAGTCAGTCTGCCTAGTCCAACAATGGCTGACAGGAAAGCTAAAAATCTGGTAGTTGTTCAGTCCTTGAGGCTGGATGCCTCAGCTGATGAGGCTTTAATCATTGTCAGAATTCTGAAGAAGGGGTTTCTAAGAGCAGAGGAATGTCCCAGCATCAGGATTGATGAACTTGCCAGCAAGAGTGAGGGCAAGCAGGCAAAAGCAAAGGCTTCCTTCATCACCGTCTTATATGTGGGCTGCCGCCAGAAGGTGTGGCCCAGATTTAGGGTGGGTCTTCCTGTCTCAAATGATTGGTTAAACCTCACGTCTTCTTCCCAGCTGCTTAGGTTTTTGTTGATTCTAGATACAGTGAAGTTGAGAACTGAGATTAGCCATCACAGCCCACCTTTTAGCTTTTATAATTCAGGCTGAAGTTGAACCAGTTGGAGTTTAAGTGTATGTTAAAGTGTCTCCCTGTGCTTTCCATTGAGCTGCATCCTCAAAGCTGCCCTCACGGGGACCACAACAGACATACTTAGACTGCTCCGCTATGCTTCAGTTGTCTCACACCCAAATCCCCTGAAGCTTGACTTGCTGTGTACTTGAGGCACAAACAAACAAACAAAAAAGGATTTTAATAGCATTCTATCAAAATTTTCAATAGTACTTGCTTTGGTAAACCATACTTAAGTCGTATCAGAGTTAGTTACAGCTCAAGGTGTCTGTTGAAAGCCATGTTAATTTCTGCTTTAGTCATGGGCCTGTCTAATTATTGAAACTTCATGTTTTCTAAAATCTGGCTTAACAACTGAATTTCAGAGGGAGCACAGAAATGAAAGCAGTCGTGGTTCAGTACATCTTGTTTCGCCACTCGGGTTGAATGGGGTTTGAGGACTCAGCTGGGCTTTTCGGATGGGCTTTGTTCTGAGTTACCTGAAGGCTTACGAGACCTTCAGCAGCTCTCACTTAGATATTTGAATCGTGCAAAAATGAAACTTCCTTTCCTAACAACAGCTTCTTAAATGTTTACTTTTTGTTTCAGTTATAGTGAATTTCTGATAGAAATTTTATTTCTCCTAGTCGGGGTTTCTTTATTATTAATATTAATTATTAATTAATTATTAATTATTAATATTGCCCTGTCACACCCTCCCAATTGAATCTATCAATAAAGAGAAAACATTGGCATACGACTTTCTATAAGTCTGAAGTTCAGCATATAACTTATATCAGAAACAGAACAGAGGACCGACTCGTTTCACTTTGACATTACTTTCGTCGTCTCCATGCCAACTGTCACAGTTGTATTTTCCTGTTTCTTTTGAATAATTAGATCGTAGACTGACCCTAGAATATCACCTAGCACCTACATCCTGCCCTTTCTGCAGACAGAGAGGGTTCTTTATACAGACGCTTCCCTTCCGCGTGAACATGACGCTTTCTCAATCTCGCGGAATGAGGTCTCCCCAGCAGAAGCAGTCAAGGGCAGCATGTGTGTGACAGGGTTCCTAAGGTCCTGCAGCGCAGTGCCATCAGAAGAACAATGACTCTGAAGAACCGTGCAGTGTCTCTGTATTTACTTTCCCTTTCCCTTTAAACTCTAGGCATCAATACCTGTCCGAAGGTCAGTCTACCTTGTACGACAAGCAACACAACCACAGAGGCTCAGGGAATAAATGGGAGGACACCAGCAAAACGCTCAGCTGCAAGTCCAAAGCCACAAGGTTTGTACTCTGGGGCTCTGTGATTGGCCAGGTTTAAGAAGCTGCAGAGAATGAATGCAGGTCATTTGGAGTGCCTGTACGCCTGCCTGCTCAGGTGGAGACCAGGATTTGCTCTGCTTCTAAAACAAAGTGTGCATTCTTTATTATGATCCTTCCTTTATTACAATGCTTTGCATGTTTCTGAGTTGCTTTAGAATTTTGTTGCTAAGGCTTTCTGAAAGAAGTCTTTAAAATGAGTTTAGCGTATTACCCACGAGATTATGGAATTCTGGCCACTGCTGTGTTCATAGTGATATGAAGTATGACTTGTCAAGCAAAGTCAAAAAGTCGGTGACTTACATAACAAGCCCAATTATCATCTTTAGTTCTGGCCATATCCCTCTATAACAATAAAGTGAATATAGACATAGAAAGTTTTTAACTGTGATTTAAGATATTTCATGTGCAAAACGCAAGACAACCCTTTGCTCAGTGCACCAGAGTTGAAAGATAAAAATGATAGTAAACTGAAATTAATGTACTTCTGGTTTATGTAACTATGAAAAATAATAACAATAAATTGATATTTAAAAGGCCGTTGTGGCTTTACTTGCTTTTGGAGGATGTATTGCTTCACTACAATGTTTTCCAGTCAGAACACTGAGAAAACCAAGGCAGCGGTCTAGTGACCACATACCAAAACTATCCTGTTACCTAGTGAGGCAGTGATGGCCTTGTTTTATTGTTTCATATAGTTGAATGGTTAAGTCAATATATTGTTACTTTAATACTTACTTCCTATCTTTTTAAAATTTATTTAATTAATTTATTTATTTTTACAAACCAATCTGAGTTCCCCCTTCCTCCTCTCCTCCTGCTCTCCCACCTTCTCCCCACCCCACCCCCCATCTACCCCTCAGAGAAGGTAAAGCCTCCCCTGGGAAGTCAAGTAAGTCTGCCCCATCATCTCCTCGAGGCAGGACCAGGACCCCCCCCCCCCACTCCATGCCTGTGGTGACAAGGTATCTCTCCACAGAGGATGGGAATGGGCTCCCCAAAGTCAGGTCATGCACTAGGCTTAGATCCTGGCCCCACTGCCAGTGGTCCCACATACTGCTCAAGCCACACCATTGTCACTTGTCCTCAGGGGGCCTAGTTCGGTCCTATGCAGCTTCCCCAGTTATCAGTTTGTATTCTGTGAGCTCCCACTAGTTCAAGTGAGATGATCCTGTGGGTTTCCCCATCTTGCTCTTGACCCCTTTGCTCATATTATTGGTCCTCCCTCTCTTCGACTGTACTCCGGGAGCTTGGTCCAGTGGTTAGTTGTTGATCTCTGGATCTGCTTCCATCACTTTCTGGATGAAGGTTCTATGATGTCAATTAAGGTAGTCATCAATCTGCTTACAGGGGAAGGGCAGTTAAGGCATCCTCTCCACTCCTGCTTAGATTCTTAGCTGGAGTCATCCTTGTGAAATTCTGGTAATTTCCCTGCTGCCAGGTTTCTCGTTAACCCCATAATGGCTCCTTCTATCAAGATATCTCTTTCATTGCTCTCTCTTTCTGTCCTTTCCCAAACCTGACCTTCCAGATCCCTCCTATTTTCCTTCCCCCTCCTCTTGTACCCTCCCCTCCCTGCTTCCACCCTCATTCCACACTCACTCAGGAGATCTTGTCTATTTCCTCTTCTCAGGGGGAATCCATATATGTCTCTCTTAGGGTACTCTTTGATACCTAACTTCTCTGGGGTTGTTATGTAGTCTGGTTATCCTTTGCTTTATTTCTGATATTCACTTATGAGAGAGTATGTTCTATATTTGTCTTCGTGGATCTGGGTTATGTCACTCAGTGTGTTATTTTCTAGTTCCATCCATTTGCCTGAAAATTTCAAGATGTCATTTTTTTTTTTACCTCTGAGTAGTACTCCATTGTGTAAATATACCACATTTTCTTTATCCTTTTTGGGTTGACGGGCATCTAGGTTGTTTCCAGGTCTGGCTATTATGAGTAATGCTGCTATGAACATAGTTAAGCAAGTGTCCTTGCAGTGTGAGTGTGCATCCTTTGGGCATATGCCCAAGAGTGACACTGCTGAATCCTGAGGTACATTGATTCCTAATTTTCTGAAAAACGGCCACAATGATTTTCACAGTAGCCATATTCCCACCAGCAGTGGAAGAGTGTTCCCCTAACTCCACATCCTCTCCACCATAGGCTGTCGTCAGTATTTTTGACCTTGGCCATTCTGACAGGAGTCAGATGGTATCTCAGGGTTGTTTTGATTTGAATTTCTCTGATGACTAAAGATGTTGAGCATTTCCTTAAGTGTCTTTCAGCCTTTTGAGATTCTTCTATTGAGAATTCTCTGTTTAGATCTGTACCCCATTTTTTAATTGGACTATTTGGTATTTTGATGTCTAGCTTCTTTATTTTGGAGATCAGCCTTCTCAAATGTGGAGTTGGTAAAGATCTTTTCTCATTCTGTAGGCTGTTGTTTTGTCTTATTGACTGTGTCTGATTTACAGAAGCTTCTCAGTTTCAGGAGGTCCCATTTATTTGTTATTCTCACTGTCTACACTATTGGTGTTATTTTTAGGAACTGGTCTCCTGTGCCAATGCATTCAAGGCTACTTCCCACTTTCTCTTCTGTGAGGTTCAGTGTGTAGGTCTTTGATACATTTGGACTTGAGTTTTGTGCATGGTGATAGATATGGATCTATTTGCATTCCTCTACATGTCAACATCCAGTTATATATATATATATATATAATTTTTTTTTCGAGACAGGGTTTCTCCGTAGCTTTTGGTTCCTGTCCTGGAACTAGCTCTTGCTTATTTTTTGCTTCTTTGTCAAAAATCAAGTGTTCATATGTGTGCAGATTAATATCTGGGTCTTCGATTTGATTCCATTGGTCCACCTCTCTGTTTTTATGCCAGTATCAAACTGTTTTCAATATTGAGCTTAAAGTCAGGGATGGTGATGCCTTTAGATGTTTCTTTATTGTACAGGATTGTTTGGATTATCTTGGGTTTTTTGTTGTTGTTGTTGTTGTTGTTGTTTTTTCATATGAAATTTAGTATTGCTCTTTTGAGGTCTATGAAGAATTGTGCTTTGATTTTGATGGGAATTGCATTGACTCTGTAGATTGTTTTTGGTAAGATTGCCATTTATACCATGTCCATGAACATGGGAGGAGCTCTTTCCACTTTCTGATATCCTCTTCAATTTCTTTCTTCAAAGACTTAAAGTTCTTGTCATACATGTCTTTCACTTGTTTGTTTAGAGTTATCCCAAAATATTTTATGTTGTTTATGGATATTGTGAAGAATGATGTTTCTCTTATTTCTTTCTCAAAACCCATTTATCATCAGTATGTAGGAGTTCTCTGGTAGAATTTTTGGCATCACTATGTAAACTATCATATCAACTGCAAGTAGCAACAGTTTGACTTCTTTCTTTCCAGTTTGTTTCCCCTTGATCTCCTTTGGTTGTCTTATTGCTATACTTAGAACTTCGAGTTCTATATTGAATAGATAGGGAGAGAGTGGACAGCCTTGTCTTGTTCCTGATTTTAGTGGGATCACTTTGAGTTTCTCTCCATTTCATTTGATGTTGACTTCTAGCTTACTGTATATTGCCTTTATTATGTTTAGGAATGTTCCTTGTATCCCTGCTCTCTCCTAGACCTTTATCATGAAGGGGTTTTGTATTTTGTTGAAGGATTTTTCAGCAGCTAATGAGATGATCATTCTCTCCATATTTATTCAATATAGTTTACATAAGTGACGCCAAAACCTCTGTCAGAGTGCTATGAACTTTCCTCTTAGCACTGCTTTCATAGTGTCCCATAAGTTTGGGTATGTTGTGAGGTCATTTTCTTTGAATTTTAGGAAGTTTTTAATTTCTTTATTTCTTCCTTGACTCAGTGGTGATTTAGTTGAACATTTTTCAATTTTCATATGTTTGTGAGTTTTTTGAAATTAATGTTGTTGTTGAATTCTAATTTTAAGGCATGGTTATACTATAAGATACATGATGTTATTTCAATCTTTTTGTATCTGTTGAGGTTTGCTTTGTTACTGAATATGTGGTCGAATTTTAGAGAAGGTTCCATGAGGTGATGAGAAGAACATATATTCTTTTGTGTTTGGGTAGAATGTTCTATAGATATCTGTTAAGTCCATTTGGGTTATAACATCTGTTAGTTCCTTTCTTGCTTTGTTAAGTTTCTGTCTGGCAGACCTGTACATTGGTGTGAGTGAGGTGTTGAAGGGCTTAATATATGATTTCGTGTGTGGGGCTTAATATATGATTTAAGCTTTAGTATTGTCTCTTTTACAAATGTGGGCACCCTTGTATTTTGGGCATAGATGTTCAGAATTGGAACTTCCTCTTGATGAGTTTTTCCTGTGACTTTCTTCATCTCTTTTGATTGATTTTAGTTTGAAGTTTATTTATATTAGGATAGCTACCCCAGCTTGTTTCTTAGGTCCATTTGATTGGAAAATCTTTTCCTAACTCTTCACTCTGAGGTAATGTCAGAGGTGTGTTTCTTGTATGCAGCAGAATGATGGATTCTGTTTTCATATCCAATCTATTAGCTTGTACCTTTTTATAGGTGACTTTAATCCATTTGTATTAAGAGATATTAATGATCAGTGATTGTTAGTTCCTTTATTTTTGTTTTTGTTGGTGGTGGTGGTATTGTGTGTGTGTTTCCCTTCTTTGTGAATTGGCTGCTGTGTGATCATCTCTTGCATGTGTTTTTATGGATGTAGCTAACTTCTTTGGGTTGGAGTTTTGCTTCTATACATTCTGTAGGCCTGAACTTGTGGATAGGTATTGTTTAAATCTGATTTTGTCTTGGAATATCTTGTTTGTTCCGTCTACGGTGATTAAAATCTTTGTTGGGATTGCATCTGTGGTGCCTTAGTTTCTACAAAACACCTGTCCAGGACCTTCTGGCTTTCATTGTTTCCATTGAGAAGTTGGGTGTAATTCTGATAGGTCTGACTTTGTATGT